GTTTCAATCTTCAAAATCAGCTTCCGTATTCTTTCATTGCTCCTTCATTCGTACCTTCTCTTCAGCTAAGAAATCGATATATATATATAATTGACTCCTTAAATAGCAGATATATATAATTGTAATTGCAGTTGAGATCATAATTTTAATTTCAGTTTACAATCCCGATTAAAATTATAATAAGTTTAATTTTTGCAATAAAATACTAAATGTCTATAAGTAAATCTTCAGGCTATTTAACGATGATTTAAGCATAAATTACTTGACGTAACTTGCATTACATACATGTGAGTGGAATGGATGCACCAGCGTGTACACGTAGTCTTTAATATCAGAGTAAGAGTACTGCTCATGTCACTTAATAAAATTATCATTATACAGTACTGTGACTGGAAAGCGTCTAAAACGCCTTGAATATTATTCTTATTAAAAAATGTTTTATTTTGTTGAATTATCATAGAATGATAGTATAGTTCTGAACACTAAATATTTTCCTCCGTGTTACATAAACTTACCACCCAGTTCGTTAGTTAATTTAATTCTTTGTTAGTTCTGATGAAAGAAATTGTATTATTACATGACGTAACCACGAACCCAGACCTACTGCGTGGACAGCCAAGTTGCAGACTCTGCGTGCAGCGCCACGGCCTATCTGAGTGGCGTCAAGGCCAACATTGGCACCGCAGGTGTGACAGGAAGAGTAAAAGTGGACGACTGTGCAGCTATGAGGAACACTTCTAACCAAGTTTCATCGATTCTCAAGTGGTCACAGGTAAGAACACTACAGTTTCTGTTTCCATTTGTGTAACCGAGGGTACGATTCAGTTAACAGTGAATAATATGCAGCTAGTCAACCAGAAATGGATCAAGCAACTACATGTTCATATGTTCGGTATGTCGTGTGATTCGGTGCACAAAATTTATTTTAATAAGAATAGCACAATAAAATATTGTCATGTGTTTCCTAGGTAACGCGACAATAATTCAGGTGGGTTTCCGGATTTGAGCGAATATTTATGAACACACTCTTTTACAGTCACAAGTATAATTATTATCACCTATACCGTCCTCTAGAATTCTCCTCTTCACTATCACAATTCTTCTTGCACCGTTAATATCGCTGCAGTGTCTGCTGATTTGCTCGGAAACTGCTAGAACTCAACTGTTCTCGGCAACTGCTAGAACTCAACTGTCCCATCTGTCAAAGTCAAAGACACATTGCTACTGACGGTCAGTCAGTCTGTCTTGGTGTCGAGCCCCGGCTGGGGTTCATGACCAGATGTTACATTTTAAATTAAAGTTACTGACCTGTCCATGTGGGGCGCCCTCTCTGAAGAGAGGTCGTATCTATCATTACTGGTACATTCAACTGCCTTAAATAGTCATTCTGCGGACCGTTTATGTATCACCTTTCTCAATAATTTGGATTTCTCGTTTTATACAACGCTTCGAAAAATTCGGTGTAACCGTGGAAACTCACTGTTAGAATTCCAATATTTCATTACATTCCGTTGTTTAGGAAATGTTATTCATTGACCTGCAACGAACGCTGAATTATGCGTTCTCCTTCCTATTTGCGCCGCGATGGATGTTCCATAGTCCGGCTTTTAGGCAGCACTTCACAATATTATAACCTTTAGTTCCGTCTGTTTCTTTCGTGAAATCGAATAAATTTCGACCTTCTGGCTATATTTTGTAACTTCATTCCAAAGCTCGTGTCATTTGGTACCATCCACCTTCCACAGGATTCCAATCCGTGTCCTCAGCACCAACATGGCGTTCATGAGAACTTTCAAAACCAGAGAAATATTGGGATTGTAGCCAATTAACTTTTAGGGATTAAAATGCGCGAAGGCGAGGTAACATGCTGTGACGTGGTGCTCCGAAGGTGTTACGTCACCGATGGCGGGGGAGGTGGTATCCTGCATAGCGCAAATACGTCACAATACGTTTATACAAATGTTTGTGAGGAAGAATCAACTGACTGAGTGTTTGTTAGAGGGCACAAAACAGACATACATATCCTGCAAAATATTTTGAGGACCCCAAAACAAAAACTTTAATAAAAGTTAAGTTAATTTTTCTGTAGCTATGTGTTGAGTCACAAAAGTTTGTAGCAGATGGAATTGTGAAAGACCCATATATTCTTATTCTTGAAAATATGTTTATATAATATCTATGTTCCGGCCGCATTTAACCCATGGGAAATATCCAAGTCTTCCTAGAGGATGAAGTACGTTAAGTAGGTAAACAGATCACTTGATATTACTTCAGAAAATGACTCCTAATAATATTTAACTTATATTGTGGGTAACTTATTTCCTAAAAAATAAAACTCTCCTTGTAACAGGCCATGAAGGCCTATAGCGTTGTGAGACGTCGTGTCTTCCCCATTTTCTAACAATCAGCTCACAGATAGAGGTAAGATTGTCAGCCTTACGCGCCCGCCGCCGTTTACCCCCTAGGAAGATTCCTGGTACTCATTTCTATGATAGGCTGAGACGACCCCAGGACCATAGTACTGCTGGAAGTGCCAAGTCACTTGAAAAATAGAATTACCTCATCGGGAATCGAATCCGCTATCTACAGGCTTGAAGCATAGTACCTCAACCAAATACGCTACCTAATGCCCGTCACTTATTTACACTTAACAAAAATTCTGAAACACAAACTTCATGTTGGTGATCGTGAAGTGATGTTTGACTCACGGAATTTGTGTTTTTGCTCAAGGACGCAGGCAAATCGACGGGCGTTGTAACGACGACTAGAATTACGCACGCGTCTCCGTCTGGTACATACGCCCACATCGCCAACAGGGACTGGGAGAATGACGCAGAGGTCCGAAACTCCGGGCAAGACCCGGATATTTGCGATGACATCGCGGAACAACTTGTTAACAGGATCCCGGGCAAGAATATCAAGGTAAGCATCTGTCGTTACGAAGAGTACATCATTCTCTGATAAACCTGCACACTCGTCCCACGCACCGCCTCATTATTTGCTTTTTATGAATAGAAACGTGCCCTCTGCTTACGTACTCAAAGCAAACAGTATCAGAGTTCATCGCCATTTTGCTGGATCCTTTTTATATCTCGGACACTACTGAAAGCATTTCCATTGAATTTGTTATTGGGGACATATACTAAAGTCTGTCGCCCAGCTCAGCTGTGGTTTGCATCTGTTTAATATCACCCTCACCTTGTGCAGAATTCAACTCAAACACGCAACTTCAAAATACTGAAAATAATCCCATATAAACACATATAGACATAGCTCATTATTATTGTCACGTGTGTGAGTGATTATAGACGGGTTTTGGATTGATGATTGACTTTATTGAACTCTTTGATACAGCGGGTGACTACACTTTACAGGTTACTATTTTACACACACACACACACACACACACACACTAGTGTCCACATTCCCCTTTTCACTAGCTCAAAACGACTGAACCTTAACACTTCTCTAACCCACTGACAAACTCAGTCACTCACCAACCAAATAACTCAACTCAACTGAGCTGAGTCTCGCTAATTAACCGTCCTGCTTATAACATCGCGACACGGACCGCACTGAAAACACTTTCCTCTTTTGCTCTTACGGGCCGTTTAGTAGTAATTCACGTTTCCTAGTCGCTTATTTCGAAGTAGTGGCCTAGCAATGGGCCTACATGCCCCATTGCTCTTTACTTAAGCCTATTAGTCCCTAATGGCCTACAAGCGTGCACCATTTCGTCATTTCCGGGAGCTGTGCTTGTGTTGAGCGGTGCAGGAATGGCACGGTGGGTCATCCGTCGGGGGGCGGCGGGCAACTTCTTCCTGGACCCACCACCGCCCTCTGGGTCCGTCTCTTCGGCTCTCGGCAGCGCTCTACGGCTAGATGGGGATCCCCATATCGGTCCTTCAGCGCTCAGACAGTTTCTACCGCAGCCTCTCCTTTAGGTACTTCCTAATATTCTTCTACAGTCTTCATTTCTTCTGGATTTACCTCCAAATCCGTGTCCCCCGTCTCATGGTCTTTGTTTTTTCTTGACCCGCTTTCATTTTCGACATCAACTTCCCATGATGGGAGTCCATCTTGGATTTTATTTCTTCTTGAGTGGACTCTGTCCTGGCTTCATGGATATCGATCCGGGAGAAGAGGGCACCTTGAAGGACCTCAAACTTCTCTTTATTGGCTCTTATTTCCTTTCCTTTCTTCCGATTGGCGTCTGTTTGTCGCTTTCACGGTCTTCATTTCTTCTAGCCAGGCATCCATTTTGCCTCAATTTGATTGAAACAATTCTATCAAATCCAATTAATCTTGTCAATCCAAATCCACTTCTGGCACAACTTGTCACAAAGTTAGTGACCTTAGATGCGGTTTGGATTGGTAATCGTATTTATTGAACATGTACGGAACCTAAGTACAAATAATTACGACAGTCTCACTGAGTTACACACTCCAAAGATTACTGTAACTACAGCACACATAAAGCCCTCTCAGTCTCCCATAGCCGCTGCTCAGTAGCGGCTTTCAACGGTGGACTTTCTCCTTTCTCTGGGTTTCCCAACTATCCCGACCTTACCTACATACTTCTCACAACAACGGCTCACAACGACTGAATTTCAACACTTCTCTGACTCACTAACTAAATCACTCACTCACCCACCACCTCAACTCATTTCAACTGACTCTCACAAACTGTCGTGCATATGAAATCAGGGCACTGATGGCGTAGAAAAACTGTTCCTCTGTTATTTACAGGACGTCGCCTAGTCACGGCCGTTGTCTAGTTGTTTGTATCGCGGTCGTTGCCTAGCAACTGGCCTGCATACCACATTATTTATTACTCCTGTATACAGTCTCCCGAAAACAAATCATTCATTTCGTATCGTTACATCTCTGTCTCCATTTTTCCGTTTCCCCAACCATTTCGATTTCTTATATCGTATCTTTCTTCCGCATTTCTTTCTGAATCGCCTTTTGCCCGTTATGCCGTCAATCCTCTCCCCTTATCCCTCTACACCCTTTACATTAAGAAATCCTCACTCTTTCTTCCTCTCTTTTTTCCCTTGTTTTAACTTTTTTACTCTTTTCTCATGCACTTCTTTTCCATTTATTTCATCTTCCGTTTTAATTTCATTGCTCTCCCTCTTCTTTCCTCCCACTCTTTTATATTAAAGCAGTTGTAGTATGCCTCGTTCAGAAGCTTTTGTAAGCATATATTGTGTAAAATTGTGCATATATCATAGAATGGTATGCCGAGGGCGACTACAAACGGCATCTGTCAGGTACTCACTGTCAAGTTTCTTGTGGTCGCAATACACAAGTCTACAAAGTTTTCTCCGAGGCCCATATTGTAAATGGGATATGACATATATCCACTTGCTCTTATTTATCAAGCAATTATCTTTAGTATAATTTTAAATTAATTTAATATATTTAAATATCCACCTAATTCCGATTCACGAACTGGAGAGAAAATATGTAGGATTTGAGGTTTTCACGGCGGTGACTATGAAGAATGCCGTCTTCTAGGATGTNGTTGGAAAAATGACAAGTTGAATCGTAATATTAGCTTTAGGTACATGTGGAATAGGGACCAACTTCTGAGTATTGACCCCACTGCCGCGGATTACGTGCTTGGTGAGTAACTCTCAGAATACCCATCTCTATCCTACAGATTCGAATTTACTACAGACCTAAGGCAACTGGAGATATTTTCCTCTCTTTAAGGACTTTTTAATAGAGATCATCTGGAGTACCACTTGTTGGCGAACCCGAGAAAGGAACCAACACTGGAGGAGATGACAAACTTTGCAGTGCAGGCACTGAAGAAAGATCCAAATGGTTACTTTTTATTTGTCGAAGGTAAATATATTTTTTGTTACTAGCCCGTTTTCTCTTCCTTGCGGAAAATGGGTCAATAAGATCATACTGATGGAGGTTTGATATGTCTACCTATGTGTCTGAGAGTCCACATTTTCAGTTTTTGAACCAATTGAATGAACTTTATGAAATTTTATACGCACGGATAATCTAGTAACTTTTGGTTTCCTGCAGTTGGTAATAACAGCATGTCGATCATGCGAAATTATAGAGTGGAAGCAATAATAGCATCTAATGTGGGATCTTGAAATCATGTGTTTTAACAGATTTTTAAAAATGTGCAACCTTCATTACAATGTTTATTATCGCGAAGTTTTGTAGAATACAGAACAAAATGGCGGCTCCATGAATCCTATATATAGACATTGGTTTGAGGAAAATATTTAATAAATCACTGAAGTTAGATACATGAAATCTAGTACGGAGAGGGGCCATGAACAAACATATTGTGACATGTAGACTTGTTGCTAAACTACGACCGAGAAACAAACAACCAGACAACGGCCGTTACTAGGAAACTGTCCTAAACAACAGTAATGGAACAGTGTTTTCTGTGCGGTCCATGTCCAGATGTTATAACCAGGACAGTTAGTGAGAGTTAGTTAGTGGAGTGGAGTGGGTTTGTTGGTGAGCGAGTCAGAGACCTGCTGAGGTTCAGTTGTTATGCCTGTAGTTGTGAGAATCTGGTAGATGAGCCCGGGGACAGATGGGGAACACAGAGGAGGGGGAACGTCCGCCGTTAGAAGCCCCTACGGAACAACGGCTATTAAAGACGTGGCTGTGGGTATTAATGTGTGTGTGTGTGTGTAATAGTGAATTGTAAAGTGTAGAGCCGCGCTTTATCAAAGGGTCCAATATATTTGATCATCAATCCAAACCCTGTCCATAGTCACGCGTCTACCATGTGACAATATAAATCCTAAAGAGAGCTCTGACGCTGGTACCTTGATCACAGTATTCGCCCCTGAAAACTGGGGCGATATGTTCCACAGGTGGACGTATTGACATGGGACACCACGCCACGAAAGCACGTTTAGCCTTGGATGAAACTCTTGAATTTGCAAAAGCCGTAAAAGTCGCAGCAGATCTCACAGACGAAGAGGACACCCTAATTGTGGTCACAGCCGATCATGCGCATACGTTGAGTGTAAATGGCTACCCTGTTAGAGGAAACAACATCTTAGGTAAGCAGCCTACAACTGAAGGTAAAACCTGCTCGTACGTTATAAAATTAAGATAAAGAAGTTTCAGTTTACAAAATGTGCACGCTTTCAGAGGTTATGGCAATTTCTGAACAACAAAAACCATTAAGTATAAGTGGCCGCAGTATAAGGGATTTACTCCCACTCCACTAGCAATAAAAAGGAGTTTGAAATAGTGAGAATCTGCTTTTTCATGTAATTTTAATTGATTCTTAACCAGAAGATAACGTCCAGTGTTTGAAACATAGTCTGTATGATAATTTTCTTGGTGGGTAAGAAGTAGTGTTGCGCCTCATAAGTCTCTACTGCCTAAACTCCGATCTCTCCATCAACCAGAGTAATCTGCTCCCACCAACAAGGACTTGACGACCGAGTCACATTGGTATATCCGTTCCAATAGCATTGTAAGGAATGGCATTGCATGGGGTGTATTGGAAACATTGGGTAGCAAATCTGCCGCCATACTGTCCTTTGGACGGAGGAGGAAATACATCATGGGGAAAACACTGTTATTCGAAAAGCTCTCAGCGAGAACAAGGAACGAGATCTTTCCTGAAAGATATGGAAAAATATACGTAAATTCTTGGAAGAGAACTGCTAGAGCAGGTGTTACTTGCTTACTTACTTACATATTTACTTACTTACTTATTTACTTACTTAATTTCTTACTTACTTACTTACTTACTTACTTACTTGACGCGCCATAGTTCAAGCGGTTAGTCGCTGGCTTCCCACCGCGGCGGCCCGGGTTCGATTCCGGGTCTGGTCTAGTGGGATTTGTGGTGGACAAAGTGGCGCTGGGGCAGGTTTTCTCCGAATACTTCGGCTTCCCCTGCCAATCTTCTTTCCACTAATTGCTCCATAATCACCCTCACCTATCATCTGGGGCTGGTACAATAGGCCAGAAGTGGCCGCAGTGCAAGGGACTTAGTCCCACCTCACTAGCAATAAAAAATAAAAAAATATTTACTTACTCATGGAGCTGAACCCTTCTGGAGGAGAAGCCAAATCTGCAGCTACTCAAGAATTTCCCAGCATTTTATGGAACCCGAAATTTCATTACTGTGTTCACAGGAGCCCTCCACTGGTCCCTATTCTGAGCCAGAACAATCCAATCCATACCATCCAATTCTGTCTCTCTAAGATCCATTTTAATATTGTTCACCCACCCACGCCTTGGTCTTCCCAGTGGTCTCTTTCCTTCTGGCTTCTCACCAATATCCTATACGCATTCCTCTCCTCCACCATTCGTGCTACATTCCCTGCCCACCTCGACTAGATCATTCTAATTATAGTTGGAGAAGAGTACAAGTTATGAAGCTCCTCATTATGCAGTTTTCTCCAATCTCCTGTCACTTCATCCCTCTTCAGTCCAAATATTCTCCTCAAAACCCTGTTCTTAAACACCCTCAGTCTATGTAAAATACTTAGTAAGTTTAAGTAAAGGAAGAAGAAATTTGCCTGACCATCATAGGGGAGAATGATAACGTCTTCCTAAAGGAATTACATTTCAAGAGACGAAATGTCGAAGGTTTCAAACATTTGTAACATTCCTATATGAGAAAAAAAACGGAAATTTTACAATATAAACATGTATCTTCATAATGATAAAGGAACAATCTACTATAAAGTGAGCCTTTATAATCCTTGTATCTTTCAGTAACGCATTTCTTGCGACACAATGCGCAGGTATGTTTCAGTGAGGTGACATCGTCAAGTCGGAAAACAAACCAGGCATTTATTAAATTGGTTATGATCTAGTAATTAAATTTTATCCTCTGCTAAAACAGTGCTCAGAATAATTTCACTTTTATATGTAATGCTTATAACGAACTAGTTGATTACATGGAATAGAGTCTTGAGAAGCTAACAGTCGCTCATCTAGGTAAATATATGCCTGTCAAAAAGAAACAGGAAAGTTCACTACTTAATTCAAAACACCCCGCTATTTGCCAGAAGAACGCAGTCCGCTTCCCCTAACATAGCTCAATATTATTACGTAACAAATAATTAGTGATGAACCTGTAAACTTCAGTAAAATAATATATTTCCTCACACACATTCGTAGCCTAATCCTGGAAAAGTTTTCTGGAGGTGTTGCCTATACAGAGTGTAACCGAAACGTTCGGACAAAAATTGGACAAATTTTCCACATACCAAAGAAGAAAAGTATCCATATCAACACATGTCCGGAAACATTTAATTTTTAACTTACAGCTGAAATAATAAGTGCTCAAAATGTCCTCCATGGAATTCAATGCACGCCTCGTCACGTCTCATCATTTACTACGCATCCGTCAAAAGATATCGGGGGTAATTGCGGATAGTCTGGCAGGAATCCTCAATGCCATGATGAAGTGTCTCTTCGTTGTCAACAGGAGCTGCATGAAAGAGGGATTTTAAATGTCCCTACAGGTATAACTCCAGAGGATAACGATCTGGCGTGTGTGGAGGCCACTCAATGGGTCCTCCTCTACCTATGCATCGGTCATGATAGGTGTTACTGAGAACATCTACCTCAGCATGGCTAAAATGTGCCGGAGTACCATCTTGCATGTAAAACATTTGTGCTCTACCACTGATACTCGTACATCCTCCAGCAGCACTGGCAGATCGTGTGAGAGGAAATCTCTGTAGTGGTTGCCTGTAAGCAGAAGTGGCAAAACATGCAGACCTATCAAGCAATACAAACATCAGAGCTGATAACAAAAATTGAATATGTTAAGGCACTATTCTTTCAGCTGTAACTTACAAATTACATGTCCCGGACACGTCTATATATATATGTATATATATAAGTAGAACACCCTGTATTATTAATTATGAATATATTTTTTTTTAAAAGAAGTGTGATTTCGAATATTTCGAATATAAGCCGCACCCCAGTTTTCCTCTTGAATTTTTGGCAAAAAAATGTGCGGCCTATACATGCGTAAATACGGTATTTAACGAAACCTTTTGACTACAGGGGATATATATATTATTCAAAGCACGCTTTCGTGTATTTAACCCCAATGCAGTTCCCCATTATATCATCATCAAGGGCAGGACAAATTCAGTAACTTATTTCCCTCGTAATTGTAGAATCTGTAACTTATAAAAGAAAATAAGAACGTTTGTATTTTCATGTATAATTGCTAAGTATCTCCGTCTATGTATTTATCCTAAATGGCCTAATATTTGCTCATTCGCACAAGCCATTTTGATTTTAAAAATATTGTACAAGTAAATGAGAAACCTATAATTTAAATCTAGAGTAATATAAATTGAATCATGACAATAGTATTTCGTCTATATAGTATAAAACGGCTCATATACTAAATTTATGTAGTGGCATTTTCTGACCTAAAGGCCTAACTGTAGTTTTTATACCCTTGCAGTTATTTTGCCCGAACCTCGCGTGTAAAGAACTTTTCCCACTACAGGCTATTGCCACAGTGGATGTGAAGGTTTTCTAATATTCCATCAGTAACAGAAAAAATATTGAGTTTAAATGTAATGTTTATAGAGCCATAATTATGTTGTTGGACTTCGTGTGTGAAGAACTTTTATCAGAATTTAAGTTTTCACCATAGTAATCGTTACCACAGCGCACGTAATAAGCTTCTAATATTCTGTCTGTAACAGAAAATAATATATTTTTTAAATATTTTCAGAAAAGTAATTTACCAAAATATGCAATATTATTATGTGAGTCGCCTGGAAATGTTGGATACAATAAATATTTAAATCAACATTTTTCTCGATTATTTCCCAGGAATCGGTGGAATGTCTTGGGAAGATTATCTTCCTTATTCGACTCTTAGTTACTCTAATGGACCAGGCTACAAACATCCACAAGAGGACGGGACTAGATATGATATTTCTGGAGATGATATGAGTAAGTACATATATTCTGTATCCCTTAACATAAAATTTTACTGATCCTCCATTTATAAACAAAAGTAGGCTAGCTGCTCGGGCATGCAATTTCTCTGTATGAAGTTTTAATTATATACAGTAGGAGGGCTTATTGTAAGAACCTGACACAAAGCAGTAAATTTAAATAATAAATCATGACACTTTTTCCGTAAAAATTAATTTAGGGAATGTAAGATTTGAGATTTTCACGGCGGTGACTATGAAGAATGCCGTCTTCTGGGATGTGGTCCAGTGTAGATCTTGTGTGAATCGACTTTCGAAGGAACATATCGCTTCCATTTTCAGGACAAAAAATCCGCGAGCGAGGAATCAGCCTGAGCAAGTGGTTGCAGCCATATTTTTTGTACGTTAATTCTGAATAGGAGAAGGTCAGATGGCAACTGAATAAAGAGAAAAAGAAGAATAAAACACACTAAAAATGAGCCTTATGTCATGCTTTAAAATATGAGCCTATAGGAAAAATTATTACAAGGAATATTTAAGCATTTAGATTGTCAGCCCTGAAAATGAAATGAGAAAGCATCTCCTAAATTTTCTGCACACATTATTATTTTTTTTGACGAAATATATTGTGGAGAAGAGCTGTAATCACTCTAAGAATACTGACTGAGGTACTAGGATTCGGTTTGCATCACAGACGTATGAAACTCGTGTTCTTGTTCAGCTGTCATGCCCACCTATCATTTTCTCTTGTGATAACGTACTTTTCATGTCGGGGTAGAGGAGGCCGAAACGTGAATCACATCATTCATCTCTACGTATCGTGCCTTTTGGACACTGAGCTTAGGAAAACGCGTATTTTCACTTCCGCCATACTAGATTTTGAAGCTTTTCTCCTGCACAAGATCATATTGAACTGCACACAAATTTGTATTACTCACAAAAATAAAAGAATAAATTTGATTTGTTTCATTCTGGTTCGTCACACTAACAGTATCATGAAAAGTTAAACAGTTTCGTCTTCATCACCTACACCAGACAGAACTGTTTAACTTTTAATGAAAAGAACAAATGTCTAACACACGTGATTGGGCCAAGACATTATTTTTCAGGAGAGTCCGCGCTATTGAATGTTATGACACTGTATGGTAAATCCACACCATCTTCAACCGCTCAAACACTGGGTCCGTGGGTTCGAATCCCACCGATGCATGGATGTCTGTGTGCATTTATTCTGTTTTTATGTTGATATGTGCGTAGGTAGACGTCTCGCGACGGGGCTGATCTCACATCTAAGGAGTTCTACCAACTGTGTATAGGTTTAAGAATCTCAAAAATAGACCAAGGCCTCAAAAAGGGCTGTAGTGGCAAATAAAAATGGTAATTTCACAGGTGACGCCAATTACGAGTTTCCGGCTACGGTCCCGCTGAGTAGCGAGACCCATGGAGGAGATGACGTCGCAGTGTTTGCCAGAGGGCCTTGGAGTCATCTGTATGCGGGCACATTTGAGCAGAACTTCATTCCCCACGTCATGGCCTACGCCTCTTGTGTTGGCAATGGGCGAACAGTATGCGACGACAACAATAATTAGTTGAGCGATAAAACATAAACATTAATTTGACATTCATATTGTTTTAGTACAAAAAACCTACATCGCGAAATTCTTATAACATGTATTACACTACATTTGTATCTACAAAGCAATGTGTTTAGAGTCATTAATGTGAGTGAGAATTCCTGTAACGCTTTCCATGCTCAAGTACTCAGATATCTCCATGTTAACTTATATATTTTATTGGAGAAATTCTTTAAATGGTTAACTTGAAGCGTCAAGAGAAGTCAGAACAAGATTCTCTCTGTTCATTGATAATGTACACACCAAAGTTACACACAGTAAAAAGGGACACATCAAGAAGATTGTTTTTTTTTATATATATTCACTTACTAGTACATACGGCTGAACATAAGAAATTATCTACCTATCCATCCATCCATCCATCCGTCCATCCGTCCGTCCGTCCGTCCGTCAGTCCATCTATCCATCTATCTATCTATCTATCTATCTATCTATCTATCTATCTATCTATCTATCTATCTAAAATCCCGACGAAGTTAATTTTTTCAATTTACATAATCCTTCCAGCCGCAATATGGGCCTGTTACTGGGATAACCTTATTTTTTACTTTTTTAACTATCTTATCTATTTTATCTATTTTACATGCTGTCAAAATAACATATTTTGGCCTTCTCTTATGCGTAAAGCCGGAAGTCACACTCCGCTCAGTTACCAGCAGTAACCCGCTATCGTCGCTTTGGCATTCTGCCTACCGTGATATCTCTTTTCCACTTTCTCAACAATAGATAAAGTTTTCTTTTCCTCGTCACTCAAAATGCCAACGTCTTGTAGTCGATATATCAGACGGTAGCGAACAGCCCGTTCCTTTCATTTATCAAGCACGTTTTTTTCAATCATATCATAATATGAGTCCTTACTTTCCTGTAAGAAGTTTTTAATCACGTTTTAAAGCGAACCCATGCTAATCAATCAATTTGGCCTGTTGTTCTCTCAAATTGATGGTCCAAAGCCAATTTTCGATATAACATATATTTATACTTCTGAATTTTCTCCGGATATACGTACAACGCACACCATCCGTATGCAGCATCTTCATAAACCGTTTCATCAAGCGAAGTGGAGGTAATAAAAGGTTTCTAGCCAACCAAATTTTCACATAACCTTATATCAGACTGAGCCTAACATAAAAATTAGAATATACAAAAATAAAATTTTGCCTGTGGTGCTGTATGGGTGTGAAACTTTGTCTCTGACATTAAGGGAAGAACATAGACTGAGGGTGTTTGAGAAGAGGGTGTTGAGAATATTTGAACCAAAGAAGGATGAAGTGAGAGAAGATTGGAGAAAACTGCATAATGGGGAGCTTCATAACTTGTATTCCTCTCTAAGTATAATTAGAATGATCAAGTGAAGGAACATGAGGTGGGCAGGGCATGTAACACGAATGGGGGAGAAGAGGAACACATATAGAACATTGGTGGGAAAGCCAGAAGGAAAGAGACCAATGGGAAGAGCAAGGCATATTTGGGGGGACAATATTAGAATGGATCTTAGATAGATAGAATGGGGTGGTATGGATTGGATTGGTCTGGCTCATGATAGGGATCAGTGGAGGGCTCTTGTGAACACTGTAATGAACCTTCGGGTTCCATAAAATGCTGGGAAGTTCTTGAGTAGCTGCAGACTTGGCGGCTCCTCCAGAAGGGCTCAACTCCATCAGTAAGTAAGTAATATCAGACAGAGCCTAGAGGCCCAATTGCTTCCTCATCCAATGCATACACGGTGTGCTGCTCTCCCATTATGAAAACCAACCAGACACTTCCCCACCCCCGCATTCCCTTGGTGACGAGGAGACTAGTGCTGCAGTAAAACTTCCGTCGTGTGGGTTTGCCTAGAGGAAGTTAAGAGCTGCTAAGTTTTATGAAAGTGGTAGAAGTACCTAAGGGGGTAGTTGCCTCCTTAAAGTGAAACGAGTGTAAGTGGTCACATAATTCGTTCCTGGGCAAACACCAGACTATAGATAGTTAAAACCCATTACTAATTTTGTCCTTCAGCCTCGCAGCAGGGAACTGAACTCGAACAAAAACATAAGGAGGTGCATGTAGCGGGAACTCAATTAGATTCAAGTTCTGTAGTGGTGCACACTAAATTGGAAGCATCGGGGATATCTGGGCAATGCCAGCCGCCATCATAAAAGTAGCATAGGTTCATTTGGAGAGCCTTTGTAGGGATGGAAATAATAGTTATATAGAGTTACTTGCAATAGTAATAGTGTGACGTGCTATATGACGCCCATCGCTGCGCAAGGGCTGCAGTGGGAACACTACTTCCGCGACAACGAATACGTGGAAATTGTTGAGTTTCCACAGCGACGAATTGAAAAAAAGACTGTTGCGTAGGAATATCCATGGCAACGAATTGTTTGAAACAGCGGGAATAATGCATTCCAGCGGTAACAAACATAGAACACGTGAAATCGAACCCTGGGAGAAGGTGCTTTCTATTGCGTCCGAGCTCACAATATAACTGTCCAACGTCGGCCAGTTTGTATTATTGAGTTTGTATTCGACTCTAGCAAGAAGATTTCTTCGACATGGGACCAAGACACTTGACCGAGGATAGCGGTGCAAGTAATTATACGAGTGAAAAAGAAACGTCCGCAGACGTTAGAAGTGATCATAATTGTACTTGTGTTTGTAAAAGCGATTGGCAAACAAATATTCGCTAAATGCGAGACCTGCGTGAATTTATCTGTCGCTTTACATAGACAACACGCGACAATATTAACATTTATATTTAGGATTTTTTTTATTGTTTAATGTAATTAAAACTCTAAATTTGAAAATTCAGTTTCACAGCTACGAACTTTCATTGCATAAATTAAATAGGTGTGATTGAATGTAAATTTTGAATAAGGCATAATAATTTGAACCTAACAGATGTGTCCTGCCGCTGGTTTATATCACATTTTCCCACCCAAGGGAAGTTTTGGTTCGTATGTGTAACTTACACTTAGGGCACAGACCTATGTAAAGCCACTGATCATGTATACCGCTCTGTCTGTGTGATCCTGCTTCAAATTAAGGAGCAGAGTTTTTCGCTGCCACCTTTCAAGTTAAACAATGTTCTCGTTAAGGAATGTTGGCACATGTATTTTTAGCATGAATAGATGACGTGTTTTTTCAACATCACATACTTTACAAAATTAGAATGTCTTGGTAGACACTGACCTCTCTCTAATTAGTAGTTTCGACATTTCCGAGAAAAAAAGCAGAAAGACATAGCGGTAGTCTGGGTTACAGCGGTGTGCAGGGTGGCTAAAACTGAATTGAAAGGGCCCTGAAGCCAAAGAACGGCGAGTACCACCAGCAGCACTTTCATAACCCCACAGCCTCAAAGACGTGATTTCTAGGTCAACAACAATTTGCGATGTAGGCAGATGTCATTCATGTGTTCAATTAATTCATCAGCATCGTCGGAGCATGAAGCTCCTGGCCTCCAGCTTCCATTTCTAGTGATCCATGATTTTCATAGAACATTGTACATTGAATAGCACAGTTAAAATCTTACAACATGCAAAATTAGGTTCCCTGTCTTCCAGGAGGTGACTTCGTGTAGTCTGGTAGGATGTTACAACGTTTCGGAGGAACCTGCTTCTTCTATCTTCAAGGTAGGAAAGTGAAAATTAAGGTGCAGGCATCAGGTTACTTCCAATTTTTCTAATCATCTACCACACCTCATGACGTCACAGACTGTTTAAGACAATTCGTTATGCAGAAGGCATCTAATAGCCTACATATTTGGAGGGATTTTAGAAAAAATTTTACTTTCCACTTTCAAGACAGCACTTCCTGTTCCACTCTTTGTACACGATTCAGTGTTAAATCTGTCGCGATCATGTGAGCAGTGTTTACGGAATTAACATCGGTAACCAATAGTAATTAGCCGGTCACGGTAGCCGAGCGGTGTAAGGCATGTACTGTCTTCGCTCGCTTGGAAACCGGGATCGTGGGATCGAATCCTACTCAGGCCATGGATGTTTAGTTTGTGTGTGTGAGTTTTTCTGTGGTTGTGTACAGGTTGAGGCCTTGCGACGAGCTGATCACCCGCCCAAGGAGTCCTGCGAATATGTAAGATCTAGAAAAACCCAAGTGAACGGAGAATTTCATGAAGGTAGGCCTAGGCCCACTTGGGCTGTAGTGTCAAGGGAAATAAACAATAGTAATTAAGCTTGTGACAGTAATGCGTTTCTAGGTTTTGCGACAGATGATGCCGACATGGTAACAAACAGATTTTTACAGACACGCGGAGCAATTTGACATCAAATAATATCAATATGTAAGTAAATGCCAAAATATAATACACACTGGAAGAAAATATTTCCTTGATTTTATTATTAGCTTTGCTTTGTAAATAACATCCGTAGAAAAGATTTTACTTCAATATTTATTTTGTATTTCGAAATGTAACTTTAATTTCACTAAATTCATGAAGTAAAGTTCTTGAGAAGTTAACTATCTCTCAGATCTAAAAATTTGTAACAATTGAAGTTGAAGCTAATAATACGCTTCCGTTCTCGGATATTTTGGTCATGAAGACGGGTCCTAAACTGGCCACGAAAGTGAACCTGAGATCTACTCATACAGGTCGTTATCTGCACTTCAAGTTCAACCACCCACATCACGTGAAAATGGGAGTCGTTCATAGTTTGATCAGTGAAGCCAAGGTCATGTGTCAGGATCAGCAATGAAATCTGGAATATCTGATATTTTCTGATGCTTAGAGAATATCCACAAAACTTTGTTAACTCCATAATGAAGCCTTAGAGAAGCAACAGTTCTTCTTCAGATACAACATACCAGGGCACTATCATTATCCCATATGTTAGAGGCTTCTTCCAGAAATTCGGACGTACTGGAAACCGTTTCAATGCCAGGACCATTCTCAGAACTAAGCATACACTCCGTGGGGCATTGATGGAAACTGGACCTGTTAGAGGCGACCAGAAGCCGAAGCAGTGTGTGTGCAGTGTCCGATGTTGTTACATCTGCGAACCAAGCAGGCCTTTAAAAATGCTCATTAAGGAGCACAAATATAACCTGGCACAAGGTCTGCTTGAAAAAACCCAAAATTAGCCCAACATGCGTAGGAAGAGGGCCACAAACTATTTTGGAAAGAAGCGAAGGTCTTGCAGATTAAACCAAACACCACGTAGAAGGAATACAAGGAATCTGCCTACATGTCTCTGACAGACAATCCGATCAGTCAACCAAGCTTGGACAGCTCTCCATCTGAACTCCCGTCACCGCAGCAGAAGTAAAAA